ACATACCACCATGGGCGCCCGCAAGAAATTTATCAGAGAGGGGCATAAATACAATCAAACACTAAAATGCATTTAAAATAAAATTATATTGATTAATTATTAAAACTAAATTTGAAATTTTGAAGTCCGTGGGTGGGGGGGCCAACGCTCCGTCCTGACCCCCCTCCCCTCCGGGCGACCATAGATACATTTGATGCGAACTACTCACTTATAGTAACACTTTTGGCTACTATTAAGGTGTCGCCATCTCGCCGTCGATGTCGTTTTCGAACAACCTGCTCGCCACCTCGCCGCGAAAAATCCTCGAAAATCGTTTCCGACCGAATTACTGACGTGCGTACTTGTTTGCCGACTTCGACCGCCGTGCGGCGCCGTCGTATTCGAAAATTACCTGATCATCCGCTCGGACAAAAACTAAAACCGTCGTCTGGTCGAAACCACGCAGCCGATCGACGTTTTATTTAAAATGTTTACCTGCGTTTAAAATTAAAAAAAAAACTATATTTCCAATAATAACCGTACGTTTGAAATATTATCGTTGATCAGCGTACACGACCGGTACCGCCAAACGACACGTTTAACAACATACCGGTACGTGAACAAAGGCGAACAGGATCCATGAGCTGTGGTCCACACCGAACAAACATCTGGATTAACGTTGTCTGTCAAACATCCGTTCGAACATTTCTCGGACGTTTGTCGAACGTTTATTCCAAGACAACAAATATTTGTTCGTAATTTACTTGTTCGCTGTATTATGCGTTTGTCAAAACCAGACAACAGTTGTGACCAGACAGAGCAAGTCGCATGCTGCATTGGCGCATCTGCGTTCATAAGTGTGCATATTACGCACAGTAACATAAAAAAAAAAACACCTTTTAAACGGATAAAATGACTTACGCAATGACGAGACCTTTATTTTAGATTTATACGAAGACGATTATTGATTACTAATCATTGATGGGTAATTTTGCGAGAATGTCAAGTGTCAATTTTTATTGATATTATCGCACTTAAATATATTAGACAATTATTATGATTGAATTTAATCATTAATTTTGGGGGTACATCCGGTGTACATTTACAATCTACATGTTCCATAATATGATCCAAAATGTTCCGCTTAGTAGGCGAACAATTGTGTTTGAATTATTGACAAATTTGTTTGGAAACACGTCTGCATAAAACCGTTGTTTCTCATCGTTGATTTCTAAAAACAAAATAAATGTGCCCGAACCGTGCAAGCGATCCTGGCATTCGAGGAAATTAGTATCCCGGCGGACGATATCGTTGAGAGATTCTCTGCTATGATAAATGGGTGATTGACCAAGTACTATAAATTGATACCATACATAACAATATTATTATGATCGATCAAATACAAATTTTTTATTTTACGTATTAAGGATGTTTCTATATTTTGAGTGGTCGAAAATATATTTCGATTCAAAATATGATTTTAAGACAGTCATGAAAAAAAAAAAATTACTACGTTATAGACTGCTTCTTTGTTTAACGCTACGTACGGCTTATAATGAACCGTGCTTGTTAAATTTCCAATCATTTCTGTTTGGTCAATTCCGTCTACATAGTACCTATCTACTAAATAAATATTACGTAAAAAACTTCTAAAATTAAAATGTCTATAAATAGCTCAAAAATGGCTTAAATGTTCTGAACATTTTGCCACGTCTAAAAAAAGTAAATACTAGTTCTCTGCACACATTTAGTCTATGCATATTTTGTAACTCAATCACATCAAAACAATAAAATTGAAAACAACAAAATCATTGTTTTCATACATTTTTCAGTTCTTTCTACGTTTTTTTTTTGCGGTTTAGCTTAATTATTAAAAAACATTACAGGGAAAATCAAAAAACTAATGTATTTATTGATAATAATTAATTACTATACCAATACGTAATTTTCGTAATTTGATTACCAAATACAAATAATTATTTTCGACAATTTTCTAAAAATATTTGAAAACGTTTTCCTACCAGTAAATCAGGAATAAGAAGGTGGCATATTTTCCTACATGCTCCGACTTCCTATTTCTACTACTATTTCAATAACTCTCAAGTATCTAATATCTAGTACTTATTCACATCTCACACATCGCAATAACTGTTATTTTGCTAACTCCTGACAATAGCAAATTAAAATCATAATCTATTAAAAAAATTGTACTGTAAACGTGTATTGTTGCATTAGCTGTGAAGATACATATTCATCATCAATACATTAATATATGACCGACAATGAAGTATTATGCAAGTATATTGCATTTTTGTTTTCTGTGCGTTTCTAAAACTGAATGGTGATTGCAGAAACGTCACGGGCCACTTGACTTTGAAAGTCAATAATAAACGCACATTTAATTATTTTCATAGATAGGTTATATTTTATAATTATTAATCAGTATACAGAGTTGTCATGAACCAGCAATTATCTCTGAGGATTTTGATTTCTATTTTTTTTATTCATTGTAGAATCGGTTAAGTTTTATTTTAAACCATTTTACATATTTCACCCATATTCCATGTACCTTAAATAAGTATAATAATTTTGTTTTTCAGATAGGAACCGTTCACATTTTGAATAGAGAATATTTTCCTAGAAATTTTGACATGCATAATTCTAATATTAGATCTATTGTTTATCAGTTTATAACCATTCAAAATGTAGATTAGAGGTGTATTATCAATGAATTATTTAAAACTGGATGTAATATTTTCCAAGAAACAGATTCACTCAAAACGCCCCGAGAAAATTGCTGGTTCGTGAGAAAAAAAAAATCACCCTGTACGGTATGTTTCAACAAGTATTCATTTTTAAATTTTCGTTTTTTTTTTTTCTAAACTATTTATATTATGCAGTTATTATCAAATATTCAAAAGTTTTAAATATTTGACTCGTAGTTTATACAATTATCGATTCAATTATAGTAGTGACAAAAAGATTTGTTTGACGATTTTTCATAGATTTAAATGGTAAAAAAAAAAGACATTAAAATATATGCTAGGCACAGAAAAAAAAAAACAACACTGAAAGACAAAAAATTATGTAAAATGTCCATTCTTAACATTTATTCATACAAAATATACTATATATATTAACACAAATAATAATAATATTTTATTTTAACTATTATTTTCACATAGTAATATGTCATAATTAAATAATTTTTAATCGAAATAACAATTTTCTTTATTAATTTTTTATACAACAGTTATAAATATAATTATTATATACAGTTACAATTTTGCCTCTACACATTTTTCAGTCGTTAGCGAGTACAATAATATCATAATAATAATAATAATAATAATAATAATAGAGAAATACTTTGTCGAAAAAAAAGGCACCTAACTATAATTTAACGGTCAACCTTAGCTCTCAATGTGTTTAAATGAAATATAATTACAGCCGTTACTCTACACACCATGTGTTCTATGTAATTAACGTAGAAAAAAAAAAAATTATAAATAATACAAAAACAAAAAAAAAGTATAATTACAGGAACTTTTACGAATTCAAATGATCAAAGTATTAGTATGACCTTTTTTTTTTGTTTTAATATTTTTGAAATTATTTTTGTAACTGCTATGGCAAGAGGAATCGCAAAGAAGAGCCTTAACAAAATTTATTTATCCTATTATATTCTAAAAACTATTTTACAACATTTGTCGTTAATATTTTTTTTTTTTTTTAGGGGGACGAATAAACAATTAAATAAATAACTAAATTTAACACTTATATATATATATATATATTTATATATTTACACAAATAGTCAAAGTTTTTACCCATTTTAAACACTGAAGGGATATTATTATAATGTATTGATAAAAAAAAAAAAAAAAAAAACACAATGTTTATAACCGAAGCATTTATATAAATAATATTCATTGGTAATAAAATAGGTATATATATAAAAAAAAAGAAAATTCATTGTAGACAATAGTAAAATTGGACTCGGGTGTTATATAAATACTACATTTTGTCACGGCGTTTATGGAAATCCAATCAAAAAACACGATTATGGTCTTATTGAATACACAAATAACAAGAGTAGCGAAGATGGAAGTGGATGAATTTTTATATAATATAAAATTAAAAAAAAACAAAACAAAAATATGGCCCAATCAAAGTTTGTCATAATATTATTATTATTATTAATATTAATTAGACTAAAGATAATAGAGAGTCCCTAAATAACATCAATGAGACAATAAATATATGAATATAATATATAATAATATAATATAATATAATATAGAGATAACTAGGGGAGGTGGTCAACAAGACAAAACACGTGTTAGTCAATATTACTATGTGTCTACCCAAGTATGTTATTTTACAACTTGGAGACATTAATTTGATTGACAATAACAGCGACAAAATTGAAATTGATTCTTATTATAGTCATAATTTAATTATGATTAATAACATAAATACACAAATTATTAGGTACATAGAATATAAAAATACAATATACTATCTTGGTGTGCAACATTATCATAATACATAATATCCAATTTTAAAACGAGCTGCCCGATCATGTCTAAATGTCTTATATGTGCGTCGTCCATCACAATATGAGTACAATTTTGTTTTCATTTGTACCCACTGAATTGACAGGGGACATGCAGAGAGGTATTTGGTAGATTAACCGGGTTTCAAATGCTTCAATAAATTTAAAGAAACAGTAATAATAATAGAATATGAATGCACGACAGCACAGACCATAATATACAAGAAATATTTTACACACCGATGAAATAAATTGAAAATCAGAAACAACTGTACAGTCATAGTATAAATGAATTGGAAAAGGAAAATATACTAAATAAAATATTAGATGCCCAAGGGAAAACAAAATAAATGATTGGCTAGTAGAAATCCAAACATATAAATCATAATATCATCGTGGAAGTACAAAGGATTTAATTAAAGTTGTCAGGGTGAAGGCAATCGAGACGGTATCCGTCGAACTCTTATACTTCGGTGCCGTCTTCGCCTTCGTCTTCGAACAGCGGTCCGCCTTTCATTTTGGGCTTTGGTGGCGGTTTGGGCGGAACTTTGCGCTTGAGGCTGGTCTGGCTGGCCGGCTTCAGTACCCCCGTCTCGGGAGTGCCCACCCGGCCGGGCGCCCAACTGCTCCGGTTCCTAGCGTCCATCTCGACCAAGGGCGAGTAATTGGGCGGAAGCGCGTTGTGTTGGATTTTTTCTGGCGACCGGGGTGCCGGAGACGGCACCCTTTCCGCGTCGAACCTGGGATGATGATGGATCATACCGCCACCGCCGCCGCCGTGACTGGAATGCAGCTTGGTTTTGTGCGGCAGCGTCTGGCTGGTGTACTGCGGCGTGGGCCTGTGCAAGCCCTGCGCGGCCGAGTCGGCGGCCACCGCCTTGGTCAGCGACAGCACCGAACTGCCGTCGGCCGTGGTCCGGGGGCCCAGGTTGTCGTAGACCGGTTCGCACAGCCGGCCCACGCCCAGCGGGTCGTCCAGGTGGCCGCCGCCGCCGGTCGGCGTGGACGCGGCCGTGCTGCTGGCCCAGCTGGGCACGCGCGGCCGTCTGGGTATCGTCACGTAGCCGGCCGGCGGTTGGGTCGAACGGGGGCTGAACGGCGACTGGGACCGGTTGTAGGGCAGCGTGCCCGAGTAGATGGGACTGTGCAGGGGCGACTGGAACGACGGGACGGTGGACACGACGCTGCCGGCCGGCGAACTGTGGCCGCCCCGGGGGAACGCCAACAGGTCCGGCGGATGAGTGCCTTTCCGGTACGAACGGCTGTTGCCGCCGCCGCCGCTGCCGCCACCGCCACCGCCACCGACGCTGACTCCGCCGCCGTAACTGCCACCGCCTTCGATGCTGACCAGTTCGTCGCCCGATTCGCCGCCGTAACACTGTTCCTCCACGTCACCTGAAAATAAACGAAAAAACAAACGTCATTGAATATTAAAAAGTGTATAGTAGGCGAAAAAAAAAAACATTTAAAATGTCGACTTTTACAATAATCTCATACAGAACACGCGGTAAAAGAATAACTCTTAAACATAATAATACAATATAGTCTATACAGTTTGTGCGTAGTCTTACGGGCGAAATCTAAATAATATAATACAACATTATAATAATTATGTATATATATATATATATATATATATATATAAAAAAAAAAAAAAAAAAAAATAATAATAATAATAATAAAACAAAGCGACCAAGCAAAATCGCCGACGTTTACAACAAAACTATTACATAATAGATTCGACTGTGACAAGAAGAGCCGGGCATTCAACGGAATATTAAATTATTGGTTTTTTTTTTTTTGTTTAGCTCATGCGAATAGAATTTTTTTTTTACAAACAATATCAAATGCGCTGTTAGAAACGCGTATTCTAAGCGCCAAACGCGATAGCTAATCGGTTCAAAGTCGGTTTTGGCTTTTCGAAAATTTCGGTCGAGTCCCGCATTAATTTGTTCGAGTCGAGTTCAACAGCGTAGACAAACTCGAGTTTTACGTGTACCGTAGAGAACAAAAAAAACCGTGTCGGGTCGACCAATTATTATTTTATTGACGCTTGTGCGCGAGAATATAATGTCGTGCGTATTTAGCAGTGACAAAAAAACAGTAGGCCGAGAAAATTTAATGTGAGACGTGCGCAGGGGGTTATACTTTAGGGGTTGTATTTTGATTTTTGATTCTGAGCGAAGCGAGGAATGTATTGGTTTTACAATGTTTATTTTTTGAAATTTTTAAACAACTACCAGAAATCTTGCTCCGATTTTAAAGCGCAGTACATTTTCTAAAAGGAAATTTCATATATTGATTATCCAAGCTGTTTTCATAATAATTGGGGAAAAAAAAAACCTAGGAAAACGGGAAAATGTACGAAACGTATTATTTTCAATTTTGTTAAAAACATTCGTGGAGACTTGAAATTTGGACGTAAAAATTATATTCTCAATTTCTAAAAGCGGTAATATTTTCCAAACATTTTTGCCATTCTTGAGCTATTTATAGACATTAATAACGGAATTTTTATTGTTAATTTTAATATTAATTTTGAAGAAAATCGTAAATATTACGGCCTTTCAATACACGTTTAACCGAACACCGTAATACATTAAATTCAGCCCTATATCCTACCTTTCCGACTTCTCGTCTACAACAGTGACACGCCTCCCACCGTGTGAATTATGTCCGTATCTTATTTATCTTGAAATTATATATTACAGCCGAGTCAAAGGGCAAAATAAACTCGACGTATCGAATAAAAATCGGCTGTTTAGGATGTGACTTTTAAATCCTCATTGTCGACCGGGATAGGTGTAACAAATCTACGATTTATTCGAGAATCGTTACACTGTATAAATTCCCGGACGTGCCACTGAATATTATATCGGGCGATTGTTATTTAATTTATTGCGTACCGCAGTGAACCCGCGGCGGTATGTACTCGCTTCGTTCAGAATCTAAAAGGTGATTTTCTAGTGAAATTCACGTGTATCTTTTACACCGCAGAACACTATCCGAATGTGATTGTACAACCTATTTATACGCCGGGGAACATTCTTTATAGTGTCTAATTACCGAAATTTCGTTTTGTTAAAAAATTCAGCGGGGAAATTTAAGGTAATCGGTCATTTTCGATTTAGTTTCACTATATTAGTATATTCATGTGCGTTCCTATCGATTTAGGTTGGGTTAGGTTAGGTCAGGTCAGGGAAGCGCGGATTCTATCGAACGTTTACGCTATGACGTGTGCTTTTCTTTTTTTTTATATTCTGAATGTAGCGAAGAATGTATTGGTTTTACAAACATGTTTACTTTTTTAGTTTTTAATTTTTGTATGCTGTGTACAAACATTTTACCAGAAATGTTACTCTGATGTATCAAGTATAGCATTTAGTACTTTAAGGAGGTTATTTTTATGTTTTCCCAATAAATGAGAAAAATATGGTGAGAATCGGGAAAATCTTAACACAATATTAAAAAATGTATTGAAAATATTAATACAATATTATTAAACAAAATATATAATGCATATATTATAATTGTTTTACCATAATGTGACTTATATATGTATATTGTACACAAAGAAACACTATTAACCGAACTTCGCTCAGAATCGTTTTTCGTTAGCAGTGGTTAATCGTTACGTACAATTATATTATATTCAATTTTCTCTCTACCTTCCCAACTTCTCATCTAAAACAGTGGCCCACCCATGTGCGAAGTATGTAATTTTTTTTCGCCGTCTACGGAAAATTTTTCTAACGGTTTTTGGTAGAAAATTCCGTTTTACCGGCGTGACAGGAGGTCGTTTTTCGATTTTCCTTGCACTTTTCTCAATAACCGGAAAAATGTACGCAATAACACGGTGTCTGTTGTTTTCCGATTAGGTTTCAGAAACGATCGCAGAGACCTGACAATATCACCGAATACCGGGCATTCTCTATGCGTATAGACGCGGTACAATATTCAAATTATTTTGCGGATTTTCGAGTTATTTATAACTAATTAAAATTGTCGAGTTTCGTTTTCGGGTTTTCTGTCGTCTTCACATACAGTCGTTTACAGACAAGAACGAAAATCGTTTTCAAACGCGTCGTTGTAAAAAAAAAAAAAAAATGAGAAAAAAAAAGCAATCTATATTATTATTATTTATCGGGACTGTACTTATTACTTATTTATGGTAGTCACACTCCTACGCGTATAAATGGTGTTCTTTTTTTTATTTTTTTTTTATAACACTGATATCTCTATATTGTTATATTATATTATGACGATAATGAAACTACGGCGCGTGTGAAAATAAAGAATTTTAGTAATCACGAAAAGGAACTGCAGCACACGCCATAGTAATATCGTATTAATACAAGAGGAGAACAATAAATAATAATACGAATCTATAGAAAAGGAGGCGGCGGCCGCGTCCGAACCAAAAATAAACCAGTGACACGGTTTTTCGATAACACCGATAGAAACGTGTGTGTACAATCGGACGTGTGTAAATTGTAAATATTATATACGGACGGGACGTGCGTTTTCGAATAATAACTATCGGCGGATAAGAAGAGGAAAAAAATAAATATCGGGTCCGAGAATTTTTTTTTTTTTTCTAATTGAAACGTGTACAGACGTAGCGTCGAAGAGAAAAAAAAAATAACTGTATAAATCACATACAGAGTGGTAATAAATGATAATATATTGTTGTCGTTCGGATTGTTTCGAATACGGGATTCGTGACTGATGTTCGTCCTCCACAGAATGGGTATGTTGTTTATGAGTACGTTATACCCGCATTTACTGTCTTCACCCAACAAAACAACGCGTACACAGAATAAGTATTAAGACTAGCTCAATTTTGATTTAAAGTGTCTAGTATGAAATTTATAGAAAAAAATATTTTTGGAGGGAATGCCATAGGGTTTTTGTATTATTCGAAATATTGTTCTCTACAGATTTCATAACAAGAAGTAATTTTACTCCAAATTAAGCTAGTTTTAATTATTCAGCGTAAGCACGTTACACGGTAGTCAGGCTGAGGTGGTGCGGGTATAACGTACTATTAAGTGTTCGATTACGATAGTTTCTGCATCACAGCTGATAATATCCGCACCCGGAGTGTTGTGACGACGATACATAATTATTATTAGCCGTTTTAGGTATTTGAAGACTAGACCGAAAACGTTTTTTTCTTTCGACCTTTACGCGCCGGTATTCTACCGAAAAAAATAAAAAATTTACACATATGTATGTTTTTTAAACACCTATTTTAGTTTATGACTCCACGCTCGTTTATTACTCGTCGGGACATTCGTTTCTATCTTTAGATTCACGTTCACTTTATAAATTATATTTATTCTGCCGTCGGTTTTTTTATTTTTTGCGATAGAAATAGGATCGACGAGCGAAAGATCGCACGGAGAGAAAATATAAGGGGACATCGAGTGAGCGAGCGAGATAGATGGATAGATAGATTAAGGGACTAGGTATACGAGGTGTAGCTATTAAATAACGAGACTGATTACGAAAAAGTGTTTTATTATAAAAGTTATTCTACATTCAAATGCTCCCCTTCAATATACTCCCCTCTCCTCATCACACACCGTTTCATTCGTTTCTTCCATTGCTCGAGGCAGTGCTGGAAGTGTGTTTTCGTAAGACCATTCAGGAGTTCCGCCGATTTTTGTTTCACCTCTTCCATCGACTCAAACCGGATTCCTTTTAAGGCAGACTTTATCTTCGGAAACAAGTAAAAGTCGCAGGGTGCCAAGTCGGGTGAGNTTATCCTGGTGCAAGATCCACGACTTGTTTTTCCACAATATCGACCGTTTCTTACGAACTCATTCGCGCAATGTTGCCAAAACTGTCAAATAGTAATGTTGGTTCACAGTTTGACCCTCTGGAACCCATTCAGTCATCACGATGCCGTTGATATCGAAGAAAACGGTTTTGAATTTGGATTACGACTGAATTGGATTCCGGTGCACTCTCGACCTTCAGAAAATAATTTATGCCACTCAAAAACACGCGCCCGAGATAGGAAATCCTCACTATAGGCCTCTTTTAACAACTTATAGCACTCAGTTGGAGTTTTTTTTTTAGTTTAACGAGAAAATTTTACGTTTATCCGTTGCTCATGTTTTTCGGCACGAGAAAAAAACACATTCGTTTCAAACCACTACTGCACAAATACTATAATAGTGACGAAAACGTATTTTGGTACGTGCATAGATAAGATATCTAAATACCCAACGCATTATTCGCTTTTTTCACTACCCATCTAGGGCGCCCTCTAGGCGATCAGTCTCGTTATTTAATAGCCACACCTCGTACTATGTAACGTACAATTTATACCGTATTTCACTCTTCTATGTTAATTCGTAATACAACAGGGAAGATCCGTCCATAGATTTATTAGGTCAATGACGATTATAGTTCAGATTTTTTCTCGACAAGACAAATGTCAAGGAAGTTACATAGCCCGCTATTCACGTTGAAGTTTTTAGGGGTTTAGCGTTTGCTGATCACCGAGGCAAGAACAATAATATCAAACATCGCGATATCAAAAATATTTTGACGATTTGCGAACGGTAAAAATTTGAAATAGTTAAAATTAAAGAGATAACGGCGCAGATAATGTCGACAATGCAGGAATTTGAATTCAATTTTGAATTGATTTTCCTTCAATCAGCCCGAATGATGCACTGAATAGTGATATAAGAATTTTAAAAACAGTTTCGTATCCAGCACAATGCGTACACGAGATCGGCCCGGTCTAATTTTAGTTTTGTTTCGTGTACATTTCACGCTGAATTCAATTGCGAAAAACGGATTTCTCATGTTATTGCATCGAGCCCTTCATAATATATAGGTAGTGAATATATTAGCACATCGTCATCGAGCGATGGTATCTGATTTGTTTAACAGCATTATATTATTATTGGGCCGATTTCTATATTTCTCGACGAGGACAAATCGACGGGAGGCTGCAATGTTTTTCTCCGGACGCGTGTGATTCGCGACGTGTCCCGTGATATATTAAATCGATTAGATTTTTTTGTTTTGTCCGGCGACGCTTCGGGACGAACGCAATACAATTCGTCTGAAATATCAACTATTAATAGATAATAATAATATCGTCAATGCTGTTCAATTATTATTATCGCGTTTTTATTTATTTGTACGGCCAATAAGGTCAAAAAACGTTATCGGTCGAGAGACGACAGTCTAAAGCGTTAATTCAATAATAGAAAAAATTAAAAAAAAAAAACAAATTTACGAGCGTACTGGCACCGGCGATATGCATACACATTCTACGTTCAATAATATTAACTGTACATTTTCTATGGTTTATCAAAAAGTGGGTTTAAAATTAAAAAAAAAAAATCACGCAGCAGATCGAATCCGTTTCCGTGACGATCGAAAACGATTTGTATAAGAATAAGTAATCTGAAACCCCGATAAACGCATCCGGTCCGAGTCAATAATACGAACAGACTTAAAAACGGCGGACAGGACGACAGATCCGGAAAATAATGATAGTCGTGCCCGGGAGACGGACGGAATTATAGTGTCATAACATCGACGACAAAATCATTGTGATAGAAAAACGATTCTGAGCGGAACGTAGTATACCGCGGTAAGGCACAACGTTTGCAGTCTTGTTATTCGGCTCGTGTTCCGACAATGCAGAAATTCGACAAAATTAGAAAACCGTTGTGTCGTCATGTGTGGTCAGGGGGGGGGGGGAAATATTTTTGTTAATAGAAAACCAAGAAAAACTAGAAATTGTTTTCGAATGGGGTATCGTCATTCGCGAAATTCCCGCATAATTTTAAGGTACCACGTGAAAAAATTGGAGAATTTTTTTATAGATCAAAACAGCTAGTGTTACCCTTCGAGGATAAAATACCCCTCCTCGGTAAAATCGTTCAACAATACTGCAATTTTTTCGTTTTTTCTGCACTGCATCCGAGAATCTTAAAAAAAAAAAAAAAACACGGGCGGAATATCGATCGGGAGTAGAATTTTTTTTTATCCAACGATAAAATCCGTGGAATCTGTTTTTCAGTGTCGCTTATGCGGCATAATATATTCCATAGATCGATTTACGTATAATAATATACGTCGGAATAAAAAAGGGTCTAAAAAAAAAAAAAAAAAAATAAATAAATAAATAATAACAATCATCGATACCGAACCCCGTCTTACGTACGCGGTACGTGAAGCGCGCGGGCGTGTCGATTGGGCCGCGATCGAATTCCGGGGTTTCGAGTCGGTATTTCCGGACGGATCGGAGTGTACAGTATATAATAATAGTTTCGCCCGGAAACGAGCGAGGGGTAACAACAGGAAAGTAGTAAACGGAACCGGAGAGAAGAAAAAGAAAAAAAAAAAAACAATAAACGTCCAGTCGGACTATACAGTCGGACTTCCTCCGGGGCGATAAACGCAACACGACGATAATATTATTATTTGTTATTGGCCGGTTCGGCGTGGATTATCGTTCCGGTACAATTGCACGCGATCGGGGACGGAGAGAACACTCCGACGGGTAACCGACGACGGTGACGCAATGCCAATATCGTTATCGGGTATATTTTTTGATTATCGGGCGGGGGGCGGGGACAATAGGCGGCGGCCACAAGCCGAACTCGCGTACAACGGACACACCGGGTTTCCGTCCGTCACCGCGACGAAAATAATACGACGGGGGTCGCCGCGATATAATAACAGCACGCCAAATTAGATGATAATATTTGTTATTGGTCGTCGAAAACCGTTTTATCCGGTGCGCCGAAAACGACGAATTTTCCGGGAATTCGCGTATAAGAGTATTAAGGACGGTTTCCGAACTTTCGAGCACCTCCCCGATCGTGTTTACGCGCCGAGTTCAAAGGATGCGCCGGGGTATTTAAACCTCGTTTACACTCATCGGAGTAAGTAGCGGGGACGGTCGAAACGCGTACACCGTAATACTGCGAACAGCATTGTTGTTGTCGTGGATGCGCCTTTTGGAAGGTTTCAACTTCCAACTGCCGCCGCCGCCGTGTGCCGTTTACAATATGCCGTCTCGAGAACCGCGACTTTACACACTGTACACGGTATTTCGATGAAACCTTTTCTTCCTATTCGATTCCTTAGGCATTAGCGTGAGGCCGCAATAGGATACTTTTCGTACACGGAGGGGTAATGTGTAGTAGACCGCGAAACAGGCCAGAGGGTGGGGTTCACACGGGGCGATACACAAATAATGTGAATAAACGCAATTTTTATTTAACCGTAATAGTTTACAACACGAATTAAATAAAACACCCGCGATCAACTCCAGAAATCATAAATATTTTAGATCAATTATTAAAAAAAAAAAAAAAAATTAAATATTGCGATGACAACTAGTCGGCTGAGGAATGATTCGAGTTCTGGCTCTATACTCTAGTGCGCTGCCTTGATCTGCGAGATTAATCGGGGATTTCGACAGTATACCGATGTTCGATTATATTGATAACGTTTTTTTCACTCCGTTATCTCACCGTGTCGTTTCACTAGCAATATTGTCTTAAAATAATCGATACGATCGACAGTGTCGTTCCACAGGCGATATTATCGATTGTTTTAAGTCAATAGACTATATCGAGTGCTACGGACGACCATCACGCGGACCCAACTCTGCTGTTCACGGGCGTATTTTGTTTGTCTCTAAAGGGACCCGTACACGGTCGTTCGAGATTGCTAGTTAATGCGACTGTCCGTACACCCAAACGGCTATCGGTTTTCGTTTAACGTCCGACGAATGTCACACACGTTTGATTTCGTGTACGCGGTCAGGCATCACGGCCGATTCCGCGCGGTACAAAACGGCCAAGTCACATTCGGGTGTTCCGTCGTCAACGCTTCAATATCATCGCACCGTAAGCTTCCGGATACGTGTGATGATCAATAATCTATAACGGCGGTTTAACGCGCTATCGGTGCGTTCGTCGCGAACCGCGAACAATGAAATGACGAAAACCGATCGAACTTATCCGAAAATCGCCGGGCGGCATCTGTCTGCGGACGAACCGCGCCGCGACACGGCCGGACGATCCAACATCGCCGTCCGCGACAACCACGCGACGCGTGTATCGTGGCACATAATAACGACAAGACGAGTTCGCAGTTCGGCGTGTACAGTACGGACAAATAGCGGTGGGCTGAGGAGGCCGAGCTATAGGATGCGGATGATAAGAGCGCGGGAGCAGACTGCGACTACAAAAAAAAAAAAAACGTGCAATCACAACAAGATAGAGTACGGTAAAATTATGCATATGGACGCGATAGCGTTGTTTATGACAACCGGCCCCGTCCGAGTTGTTGTTTTACCTAGCGGCCCCGGAAAAGGCGTTTTTTTTTTTTTTTTGTTTTCTTTCTTTTTCTCTACGCGTCATCTCGTTGACACGACCGCCTCGTCCTCGGAACGTTCAACGCGAAGAAACCGACGACGTCGACACCGCCGCCGTCGCAGCCTCGACCGCCGCCGCCGCCGATGGTGTCGGGTCACCGTCGCCGCCGCCGCCGCCGCTGCCGCAGAAATCCGAATCGCCACTGCAGCCGCAGCCGGTTCAGTCGTCACCACGGTTCACTGCGCCGGTGTATAGTATTATGCGTATACGCGATCCCGTCGCGACGAGTGCGTGAACGACAGTATTAATTGCATAGAAATTTTGTACAGTACATAATAATAATAATAATAATAATAATACACAGGTATATATACGTATATAAGTATAACGGTAATACAAGTAATGGCATACAATATTATTATCATTGTATGAAACACATGGCGTGCGGCCGAAAATAATATAATAATATTATGTTATAAATTCACAACGTCGCCGCGTACGAAACACGACACGCGACACAAGACACACCGCGCGTGTCTCGGCGGCGCGCGGTGTGTACGATTACCAATAATAGCGTAGAGAAACGTTTAAACGGGAGAGAAAAAAAACAAAAGACTCGACGAAAATTAAACGAATATTGAATTTCTGCAGCAATCGTCGCGCACACTACGCGTTATTAGCGTATTATACGCACTTGCGCCTACTCGGATGACGGACTCGGGTCGTAATTCGGTTCGAGAACCTCGTTTCATAAACTCGATTTCTACACGGGTGCCCGTGCGGCGTGCGGCGCGTTCTGTGACGCGTCGCGCTTCGCAGAACGATATTTTATCGTGTTAATCGTCGCGCGATACCGATACTACACAATTGCCGTGTTTCCGATCCACGTCTGAAAAATCCCCCGACTAAATGTCTGCGGCGAATTGTACGGAACACAGTAAACGCGTCTCGTTTTAACGCGCGAATCGATGCGGGGGGGGGATTTTTCGGACGTAGATCGGAAACACGGCAATCGTGTAGTATTCGCGGATTATTGAGCGACCGCTGTTCTATAGCGCCCGCGGCACACTGAAGTGCGAACATACGAACACGGGGATCTAATCGGCCTTTACGTACCGCCCACGTACCCGTGTCGTCGAGTCGACCGTTGTGCTACGGACCGATTGTTATTGTCCACTGTGCCAGCGTTTCTGAACCGGGGAGTTATTAGCGGGTTCGCGGAAATAAAAGCGCGATGGCGGAGAACGCGAAATCTGTTGTACTCGATTGGAATGGCTCGTCATTTGCGGCAATAATGTAAATCGGGTTTATCGTAATGTAAAAGTGCACAGTAGGTACTGCATAACGGGTATAATATATCGTAATAGGAGGCGACACGTGTGCGCTAAGATTTTATCACTAACATCCGATAGCGTAGCGTTGCCCGGGGGTTCGTAGAGCAGTGGTCGGAGGTTAAGGGAGGGCATGCGAATGGTAAAAAGTCCGAGAAACGTTGCTCTACACTACGTTGGAAATTCGGTACATCGAAGTCTATAAAATTTGTTTGTATTGAAATACGCGAACACGTGAAATAGCGAGCTCTAGTAAACAGAGTTATCGCCCGTACAACGGACTTCGTTTCACGCGATACGAAGTCTGCCGAACGTGTGTGCAAACGTTTAGTCACTCCAGTCTCGAAGGTCACATCCGGTTGTGTCTCGTACGCGGTTGCCGAAATAAAACGTCACGTTCGATTTCGAAAATCTTTTACAGAAGTTTATATTCTACGGTACAGCATCCATCCGTTCGGGTGAGCGGTCGAGAGTCGTTAGGCGACGACGGACGAATAACCGCGGGGCCGTGTTCGGCGGCCTCTCTGAAAGTCTGTTCAACCAGAGTTGTAGACTAAAGGCCCCTTTTTCCGACGATATCCTTGTATACTTGCGTAGGTATAATAATACACCGAGCAGTTACGGGACGACAAAACGATTTTGTAAACCAGCGTGTGTGGCCTATGCCACGGAAGTCAGAATGAATTCCCGTGAACCGCACAACGGTTTTTAGGGCCAGAACAGTACACGGTTAACGCAGCGATTGAACTACAATCGACGATTGAAACCTTTGTACAGTACCTGTCCTAACTGCTTAACCACCGATTAAAGGTCGGTTGAACGACGATTGGTTAGTGTGTGTGGCATTATCTTTGTTATCGCTACCACCAACGTTGTTATCAATTGTCGTTTATCACTTCGATTAGAAATGTAAACGCTGTTCTGTATGAAATAATTACGGTTTTTCTTTTGTTAATTACGTTTCGAGTTTTGTTATAGCCGTGTCTAAGGTCAAGTGTCCGCGACTAATAATTTTAACGACAACGATTTAATTTTGAGGACGATTCTGATTACGCAGACGAGGGATTCGACGAATTGGCCATATTGACCGCATTAGTGTTTAGATTCATTTTAACTAACCATTTTTTATACTCGGAGAGACGATACGTTTTTCGACCGATTTCGATTATCAAAATATACGGTTCGGTTTTTAGTCGATTCGATCAGCGATCGTATCCGTTCTCGTATTGATTGGTAATAACGATAGGCCAATCTAACCTAACCTTGGATTTTACGGTGTCTGTTTTCACGCATTTTATAACAGACGCGTACAAGAGAAATTAAAAGGTCCGAATCCCGGGTTGTGAAATTGACAGAACGCTGATGTTGCTTTTCGTTACTAAACATTGTTTTATTGCAACGAAAATTAAATATACACAATAAGACTAGAAAGAAATTCGAAATCACGAACAATTAATTATCATTATTCGGGCGAAATGACAATACAATTGATGATAAGACAGAGTATCGACCGTGATAAAAAAAAAAAAAAAAAATACCGCGATTTGACCGTCGATTCGCTAATCGGAACGAAACCGACAACCGTACAACCGTACACAGATGTTAAATGTCGATCGTTGATTTACCGACGGCCGTTTAAAACGTTGATCAATGAAATCCGTTTAGATCTTTAAACGCGCTTTTTTTTTTATTTTTTTTTTTATAACGGTTCCGGAATTTTTCAGATATCTCGTGCGCAACAATGAATAATACTCGATGGACCGCGCGACGAAATAACAGCCGCGTAAACTCGATCGTTTGTTTCACCGTCACGCGGCGGACGTCGACGGTCACGCGGCGAGACGGCGGCTACGACGGCCGACGCGATAATCGTTTTTGTAATTCGCGAGGCCGGCAAAACGGAAATCCCGGATTTTCCCGACACTGCAACGACAACGTCCGCTCCGGGCATTCCGACGCGGGGTTCGGCGGGACCGTTCGCTCGGTCGGTTCGCCGCGCGTTGACCGATCGTCGTCATGGACCACCCGGAGCTCTGTCGGAACGCGTTTTCCGCCGCGGCCGTGCAGCAATGCGGACAAGTGACTAGACCGCGGGTATCTCGCGCACAACCAAACGCACACTAATCGTTTGCGTTTCATATCTGCGGCGTTGTCCGTACGGAAAAACGACCAACTACGCTACGTGCAGACGATTAAACCCGTACCGGTTTAGCTCTGGTCGCCCGACCGCGGGTTAGACTTTGTCAACGTGCCGACGGGGAAAACCGACAGGCCCTAAGGCGAGCGGTTGGACGAGCCGCGTCTCGCCGCGCGCGCGAAACAGCTGCGCACAAAAAGCAACGGCAACAGTTTACGAACGGCCAACAGAAATTTGAACGCGATAATTATCGATAGCGCACAAACGACAAGTACGGTGCGTTATGATTATGGCGGCGTACCCGACCACCGTCAGAAACCAAACCCGAAACTGTTCTAACACGACGCGTCGGAAATACAACCGTCTCGGCGGTATGGATTTGCGTTTCCGGCGCGTCGGCACTGTCCGCCCGCGCGCCCGCCAGTTCTGCGACGGCATGACCGCGTGTCGGGACAAACCTAATGTCATAACGTTATTCAATATATTATGTCTATACAACGCACGGTGAAAATACTAACCGCTCATGGACGTCTCGTCCAGTAAATTCCGCTTGAGCTCGGTCATTTCGGTGCCGGTCGGCGACGATTCGTATCGCCGGGGCGGTTTCTGTACCGGGTTGACGACGGCCAACAGGCTCTTTTGCTGTTCGGACGGCTCGGACACCAGCGACGTGACGTGGTGATGGTTGTTGTTCGGGACGTCACCGTTGGAAAACCCGTTGGCGTGCGACTTTTTTGGCTGATGGGCGCCGCCCAATATCAGCCCGGGCCGGCGCCGGCAACAGCACAGGCAGCACACGATCAACAGCAGGACGATGATGAAAATGCCGGCCACCAGACCGACGATGACGGGTAGCGTGTCCTTGACTCCCGGAAACACCGGTTTGCTGCCGGCATTCTGCAAACGAAACGCGCGCGTGAATACAACGTATGTGACGCACATTACTAGAGATAATTCGGGTCAATAACCCAAACAAAAGCCAAAAAAAAAAAAGCTAGAAAAACTGTCGAAACTGATCGAAAAATGCTTGTTACCCAAAAATTAAAAGTCACTAGAAAAGACACCGACAAGCTTATACATGGGCGATTGTCTGCAAACGCTTTTGCTGTTCAGGACATGCGCACAACTGTACCACGTACACTTAATCGCAACAAAAACTCCCCGTTAATCAACGGACAAATATTTCGGTAAACGTATTTAAAAAAAATTAAAAAAAAATGCATTTATAATTAAAAAAAAGTACAAGCTTATTCGCTCCACTCGGAATCTAAAATACATAACGAAATGTGTATGTTTCGAATATGAACGAAACACGAAATTAATTTTTAGTGAGCGTTGAACAGGATAGCAGGGAAATATTGCAAGGCATCAACGTCGTACATCTACACACTGCACAGTGCACACACACGAGCTCGAGCAGACATTATAAACTGTTATGTAACGAGCCATCAATATCAGTTAGGTTAGGTTCTGCGCACTCGGGGCCAATGGTTACCTGTACGATCACGGTTATTATACGCTCCTCCAGCCCGGCGGCGTTCTGCGCGATGCACTTGAACTCGGATTTTCCCATCAGCCTGGACCGGGACACGGTCAGGTTCATCCACTTGGCCATAGTGTTGTCCACGCTCTCGTACACAGTGAACTTGTAATCGCCGTGCGAGTAATTCGATATGGGCCGGTTGTTGTACACCCACTGGACGCTGGGCATGGGTTCGCCGGCAATCTTGCAGCCGACCGTCAGTTCTTCGTCGTCTAGCTGGAACGAGGTGCTTTGGGTGGGGTACTGGATGATGGGCTGACAGGCGAACTCATCGGGTTTGATGTTGTTCCACAGCTTGTTCAGCAACCTGGGCGGTTCGGCGCACGACGACCTCATGTAAAGGTTCCGGTTCATGACCTATACGGAACAAAAACAATACATACAATTAAAAACCTACCCGTCCGTATGTGTTTGTATAAATATATAGCTGGAATACTGACCAAGTCCATGAACGGCCTGAGTTTGCAGTCACATCGCCACGGGTTGTTGGAGATCTCTAGGTTCATGAGGCTGGGTATGGAGAATAGGATATCGGGCTTCATGTTGACCAGATGGTTGCCACTCAATTCCAAGCTGTTCAACTTGGTGTTGTTGAAAAACGTCTTGGGTTCGATGACGGATATCAGGCAGTCGTTAAACCCGACCGTTTGCAGGAACGACATATTATGGAATAGGCCGCTCTGCAGCCGCTGCACGGGGTTCCGGTTCAGGTAGATCTTTCGGAGCCGGTACGGGTCCCGGAACGTAGCCGGGTGAAGCACGTGGATGTTGTTGTTAGAAAGGTCCAGTTCGATAAGGATCTGAAGACCACGGAAAGCGTCCTTGTCCACTAGTTCAATGGAACAGTTATGGGCGATCAGCTTGTGCAGGTTGATCAGGCCCACGGACTTGAACGCGTCCTTGTCCAGCTGGATTATGTTGTTGAAGGACATGTCGAGCACCTGCACCTCGTTGCTCAGGTTTGGTGGTACGCTGGAGTGGCTGGAGTTTGCGCAGTCAGCCTGTTTCTGTCCGCTGACCCATTTGCACCGGCACAGCTGTGGGTTGCACACGGTGGCCCAGTCGAGTTCGACCGCGCAATGCGACGGTACGGGCGTGCCCCACAGCAGCACGCACGCCACGCCGATCAGTGAATACAGGCCGATCATTGTTTGCGCATAACACGCCTGTGCAGTAAACATACAAATATATGACAAATTAAAAAAAAATTACATTTATGTTGAGTCGGGGCGTGCCTAGTTTTTATAATAAAATTTGCCCAGTTTTAAACCAATAGGCGGTGGAAATCGTCAACAAATGCATATATAATTTAAAAACTACAATCTAACAATCTAGTACGTATGTCTAATTTTCCACGGCTTATCGGTCTAAAATACCAAATTTGCCCGTAAAAACGCAGTAGATAAGTGGAAGTCTTATAATTAAAGTATATCATAAAATAGGAAAAATTAATTTTTAAATTTAACATACTTAATTGAATAAATTTGGAAACGGGGGTGGGGGTTGGTTAAAGAAATATATTTTAATATATAATATATAATAAATTAAATGTATGTAATAAGTATTTTTTTTCACCGCCACGTGAATAGTACATAGATTTAATATTTCGAGTAAAATATTTTTAAGTTATAATGATGATTGGAATAATATTCCTGGTAAGTATAGACAAATTATTCAGACACAAGAAAAAAAAAAACACATTGTAAGTAGTAAATCGACTAAATATACATTCTTCCGCTTCGCTCGAAATCTAAATATAGTCAAGTTAAGTATCTCTATTAGTCAACATGGTCTGATAATTATAGAATATTAAAAATACATTAAACACTTAATGTTTTGAAAACATTAAAAAAATTATAACTAGAAATTAATAATTGACTGGAGAGAAAAAACAAAAATTATTTTTATATTATTATTTCGTGTAGGTACTACTGTTTTAGGAGGGAAGTTGGAAGAGAGGATTAATAGAGTAGATTAATTTATATCTGTACGAAACTTAAAACAAATTTGAGCAAAACATTATCAGTCGTATTTTTTCCTTTATAGCAGAGGTGATCCAGACATTTATACAAGTTTTTACATTTATTAAGAAAATTACAAGGATAATGTCCTCCTCTAATGCACCAACTAGATCAAAAATGCTATAAGAGAGTTCCGATAAAATTTCTGATAGAAAAGTTGTTTACATACATAAGAAAAAAAAACACATCGTAGGGTAAAACCAATAGGCTAATAGATACATACTAATAAAACTGTTAAAAACAGGCGATTGTTATCGTAATATTTTTGAAATTATTATTGCAGTGCAACGATAAAGTCAGGTATACAATGTATAATAATCGTAATTCTAGGACCTTAGAAAATAACAAAGGCATCTATAAAATCTATATTACAATACTTCATACTTGGGCCATTAGGTTCTTTTTTTTCTGAAAATATGTGAAAACCGCGCGGCGACTCACACGCGTAAATAGTAATACTTTGAGAATTCCCCGGGCGAACCTATGGCTAACGGTTCTATGGGCCCAGAACATTTGGTAGGAAACTGCAGTACTCGTGTGGTATCTATCTGAACTTTCATTCGAGATTCAATTTAAATACAGTCACGAATTTTTATTAAAAAAACGAAATTCATACATAATATAAATTCAACTATGTTAAGTAAACGCTCAGTTTGTTTTCCTTTGAGTAAATATTAATATAAAACGTTCGGTAAATAAAAATGTAAATGTAATACAAATAGTAAAAATAAAAAAAAACCATTTATCACATTCAAAAATTATTATTGTTATTAGCATTAGCATTTTTTTTTTCGTAAAATGAATTGGAAATTTATTTAAATTCGCGATTTTTTGCGAATACCTAATTATAATATCGATTTAATTGAACGAAAGAAAAATATCTTGTTTTTAATTTTGTACCTATACTATATTGTATATTTGTTTTGGAAACTAAATGCATGTTGATAATAATTATAATAGAACGACGACTACAAATTCACACGGACACGTTTAGTTAAATCCGATAAATAAATTTAAAATTGAAGGAGAAAATGGAGCTTTTGAGCCTTTCGCGGCTATGCAAATGCTGTAAGAGAATAAAGAATAAAGAACTCAAAACAGATGTATCAGACGCCAGAAATAACTGAGGAAGTCAAGAAAAGGCGGCTGTAGTGAACTTGTCGTGCGTGCATGAGGTCACAATGAGCTCGAATACGTCGAGTACAGTGTAGTATTCCAAGAGAAAAGAGACCTTTAGGTCGACCGCGTATTAGATGGGAAGATCAAGTGAAGAGTAATGTGGAAAGATTGAAACCGAAAACCGATTGGTATGAATTGACGATGATGGACAGAATGAAGTGGCAGTTGGAAGAAAATATGTTGGATAGTTAGGTAGATATTAACGGTAACACATAAAAATAGAAGAAGAAGACGAAGAAAATTAATTTGAACTTATAGCCACCCCCCATTCCCCAAATCAACCCCAAAAAAATAAATTTATATAAGTACTATAAGTAGTAGCTTTTTTTAAATATTCGGATTTTATTTCTGTAATTTGTATGTAATATGAAAACGTTTAACAACAAACACTGCAGTTAGTCTAAAGGCCAAATAAAGCTATTAAAAAAAAGTTTTGTATGGCGAGCTATATACATGTATATACACATAAAATTAAATAAAAACAAAAAGAGCTCAACAATTTGTAGCATAATAAATTCTAACGTTTTATCTCACCTAAAAAAGGCTAATATAAACGTAATTGTTTAGTGAAAATTCCCGGTTTTTACGATTATTTTTAACTAAATTTCAAAAATAAAAATAAAATAAAATCGAAAATAATAAAACCGTCATTTCCGTAAACTTTTCCATTTTTTCTGAGTTGATTTACAGTCATAAAGAAAACTAGTAGGAAAATTAAAATACCAAAAATCTGAAAAATCTTTCAGAAAAGATGTTGAACACTTGAAATTCGGAGCAAGATATCTGGTAGAAAAGTTGTCCACACTGACACGAAAAATAATGTACAATACCTACAATAACAATGGAAAGAAAATAACGCGTCATTGTAAAACCAATAAATTTGGCGCTGCGCTCAGAATCCAAAAGAACGTAATTTGCGACGAAAAAAAAAAAAAAAGCTCAAAATTACATTATTCTCAAAAGTCAATTTTGGAGTCGTTTCCGTTGCAAATAACATACACGCACGTACAAATCGTACGATAATAATCGCAACTTGAAATTCGTCCGGATTAATTTTGACACATCGCAACACGGTTGATGGCCGAACGATTAATTCTCTACAGCGAGTAAGTATATTATATACCAATTATTATGGGTTGTACGTGACGGATGTTTTAAATCACGTTTTTACATCGCGCATGGCGTGGATTCGTGACGAAATATTTATTAACAGAGTTAATGCGATTTATCGTACATAATACGAACTGCGACTCGGGTTTATAATATTATAATAATACACCTACGTTTATAATATTAGTATTTAAGTACACCACCAATGTATTCCATTATAATATTCCTATATACACGATACATAGCGCAGCCGGAGTTCTCGACGTATACGCGCACAATCGCGAAATAATGTCGGAGTAGCGATTTTCGAATGAAATATATACGGAAAGCGAATTATAGTAGGCGCCCATATGGAAATGAAAAAAAAAAAAAACAAATAACAATAATAATAATAATAATAACACCGTATAATATAAACGCGGTGTATAAAATATATATATATATAGATACACAAAAAGGTCTGCATCAAGCGTATTAGAAACGAAACGAGGCCATTATTTTATGTACTCGCTGCACCATAATATACGAGTTCGTACAGTTACGTAAATACATCGCTCGTCCACGTACAATAATGATAAAAAAAAAAAACCCATAAAAATATTCCTTTTTAATATTGTGCACGCCCTATACAAATATCACGTTCAATATATGAATCTATATTTATGCGAATTTTTTTTTTAGGTCCCGATGTCCATATTACGCTAATTATTGCACAGGTATAATATATTCTACATCGATTTGTGTTTTTTTTTTTTTTTTTTGTACATACAGACGTACGCGCGTTATATGGGATTCGACAAAGAGAAGCTCAAATACGAGAACCGTTGCATACCGTAGGCCTGCAGGTATTACGCTAATTTTTTGGTTTTTTTTTTTTTTTTTTTTACAGGATATACATATATTATATAATATTTATTAAAGTATATTATCGAGATTTATTAAAAGGCGACTGTTATTGAACGCTGTATTATATTATAATATTATGTACATTTGTACAATCGTACATATATATCTGTAAAATAGAAATAATGGCATAATGCACGTAAACGGAACGATAATATTGATATATTTAAGTTGGAGGCAAAAAATTACTCGTATGTATATCATATAGACAGGGCCGGTTAGGTTAATAAGTAGTTTTATCGGCTTTTGTAAGTAGTTTAGGCTGTGGAGGGCGTCTAGTCAAAAATCATACAGCAAGACATGGTGATTTTAAATGTCTATTTAGGAACATACAAATTAATATTAATAAACAATAAGAAGATGCTTGAAAAGAAATCTTTAAGTTTTAGATAAAGATTTATCTTGGTAATAGAACGTGAAAACTTAAAAAAAATCTCATAAAAGCCCCGCAAAAATGAGTGCACAGGGCCTCTGTATTTTCCAAGCCAGTCCTGCATATAGGTATGCGAAGGAGTTAATATAGAGATATTCGGTTATATTGGGATAATAGTAACAATTACAAAAATCTAAAATTTTCGGGAAATGGATTGCTGCAAGTAAAAAAAAAACAAAACATCTGTACTATAAAAATTGAATAATTGCGTGTGTTCGGATGACGGACAAACAATTTTCACCTCGGAAACAAGAATATTAAATTATAAAAATATATTTTTATCTTAGCTACAATGCGACTTAACTCATTGTGTTTCAAGTTAATCCAGGCACAAGATACGTGAAAACATAAAACATTAGCGTAGTTACAGAAGCGGGAATTTGAGGAGGGATTGGCAAATCACTCCTCCTCCTCTCCTCCCGTTGCGGTATATGACGAAAAAATATTAAATACAAGTATCACAAACCGAACGAAAATGCAGATAGGCTATTTTTGCGGGAAACAGATTTAAAAAAAAAAAAAATACATTGACACGGGAAATCTACGGTTTATTTCGGGTAAATTATTGTTCAAATTCGTGTAGAAGTAAAAGGATCGTCCAAGGTCAGATGCAACGATTATTAGCTCGTTACACCGATAGTTGATGTGATAATTTTCGACCGTAGGTAATCGTTTATTTCAATTTATACAACAACAAAACCAGTATCTGCAGTTACGTCAATCAGTTATTTAAAGATAAAATAAAATACATAGATATTATATAGAATTTAGCGTAACGACATTGTACTTAGTGTCGATACACTAATATTTTTATAGGAAAAATAAAAAAAAAAATAATAATAAAAACGGAAAAATTATCAAACGGAAACATTGCGTTAAGGTATTTACATTTCGAAATCTAACTAGGAAATTCCTTGTACGAGTGTGGGTATACACGCAAAGTTGTCGTATAAGTCGATAATAAAATACACGAATATTATTTTTTAAAACGAAAAGGAACTTAAACGCAATTTAACAATAGTAATAATATGCTGTCGGACGGATTTCCAAATTATTGCATTCTACATTTACGTCTACGTCATAATATGAGTGGCCTTGATACGCGAATTATAGAAGGAAATAAAACGCATTCAATCTCTCGAAACAGAGGAATTCAATGGGGCCATCGCGATGGCTAATCCGTTGGTAATTTTAAGGGGGGGGGGACACGACCGCGATCAAGTATAGAAACTATATTTATAATATATAAGGTATACTAGTGTTGTTTAAAGAAATAATGACCGATTAATAATATAGCCATTTGGTTGTTTTACCCGTAAATAATTAAAGTAAACATTATAGCTATTTATAAAGATTAAAAACCGTTTTTAAATTGATCCTTTTCTCGTCAGGGGGAGGAGGATTTTTTTCGTGGGGGTTGCCGCCAGGGTTAAAACCTTCTTGTAGCACCCACACGAGGCCCGTTCTTAAATCGCGGTATTTTTGGGTACAGAAATTGGAAACTATTGTTGTATTATTATAGTGATGAGAAAAATCCTCTGCTTAAATTCGAGAATTCGAAATGTATTGTACCTACCAAAATCCGGGTGGCGAAACTCCTATTTCGGATTCTTTTATTATTGTTTTATAGATATAATAATATTACCACTACAACCTTAGCTAAAATTATATTTAAAAATAAATCAAATATGTTTAGGAAGTAGGAATAGTAAATAAGTCCCGAACAATTGAGAAATCTAAAATCTAAAATTAAAAAAAACCCATAAGTGTGCTTAAAAAAAGCAGGTTCGCACTTACGTTATTAACGTTTCAAAGCCGGAAAATTCGGTAATGTAGTCCGATGGTTCGACGTTTACGACGGCATCCACTTTTCCGAGCCGTTCGGTCTCGTCAAGTCCCATTCTCCTGAAACACGAAAAACATACAAAATAAGCATACACGGGAAATTAATAAGTAGGTATATTACACACGAAATACTTAAATTCACTACTAAAATGAATAACAGAAGACAGTTAGGTATACAATAATTATAAATATTAAATACAATCTCTAAGTTTGTAAATATTTAAAGGAGTGACACGAAAATCAAAATTACTATGGATATTTTCGGGCCTAGAGATTATGGTATTCCGAACTTAATTTTGGTCATTTTCGGTTTCTAGTGAATACGATGGGTTATTATATCGAAAATTGTTTTATTTCTGAAATTAATCGATGTTGGATTTAATAATTTGATTTGGGCTAAAGAGACTGCTGTAGGCGGAAAAATTTGTCAAAAAATAAATAAAGTAACTTAGCTCTATGTAAAAACTAAAGAGTCTATATAGTGTTACGGCACTGTAGTTCAAACTACAATACCTAATTACAAAAAAAAAAAAATGTTCATTGAATATAGCCGTTCCTATAGCTTGTACCCAGTCATCTTGTAAGCTATTTATGCAGTGTCTCGAATTTTTTAACCAGTCAGACATAGGACTTGTTTAAGATTACAAACTTCACCTAAAGAAAAAATGGATTTAATCGACTGTCATAAATGATATTTAAAACTGACAAACTCTTCACGAATTTTCCTAATACAACTTAGGTTCTCAGATCCCCTACCATATTTTTCATGAATATGAGAACCAGTGGCAGCGACATGATTTTTCCTTATTATGATTCTGCAGTTTTAGTATAATTGCAAAAAACCCCATACTGTAATCAAAACACAGAAGAATCCTGTACTTTGTTTTTATTGTTAAGACATTATCTTATAGTTTTTAGGTAAAATGCAGCTCATCCACCTAATTTGGCCATGAAGCAGGTGCTTCATAAGATATCTATTCAAGTCCCGCCACTGATTAGAATTAAACGAAACATAAACAATAACATAGTATTTAGTTCGTAATGAACTAAATGTCGAACGCGAAACGAGTATTTAATGAAGGAGAAGAAAGGGAGGGGGACATTTAAAAATGCCATTATCCACGGAGGCGACAATAACATTTAAGTATTAATACTAACACAAATATCTCTCGCACAAATAAATTGTTTTTTTTTTTTTGTTTTTTATGTTTTCGTTATTTACGCGAGTATACGAGTGAAATATTATAATAATTGCAGCGGATGTGACCACTTGACATCGGTAAATACATGTACGTATACCTATTACGGGCGAAAAATACCAGAAAAAAAAAATAAAACACGTTTTCGAAAAAAAAAAAAAAAAAAAGAAAAGATAATCGTTTTGTTTTACGAAGTCGAACTCCGAGGTGGAAGGGGAAGGGGAAAATTATAATTGGAATTATAAAAAAAACCAACTATAGTTTTTTTTTTTTTTTTTTTTCAATAACTGAAAAAATGAAATATGAAAAAATAAAATTAATATAATAATCAAAAATCAACCGCCCGCAATCAACTCTGCGTAAACGTCGGCAAGAAAATCGTTTTACCCGTAAATAAAAAAGAAAAAAGAAAAGATAATCGTTTTGTTTTACGATGTCGAACTCCGAGGTGGAAGGGGAAGGGGAAAATTAAAAAAAAAAAAACACCGGTGAAATTGAAATAATTTATAATTATAAAAACGAGTTCCTAATACATATATTTATACACATATTTTTTTTCTTCTTTCGTTTCCGGCCGGTTTGTCGGGGCGCGATGTTATTATAAAAATGCCGCGTATACCTACATAATTTATAAGAGGAAATTGCCGATTAGCATTTTGAGAGGCTGTCGCGCCGTCGTCGTCGTCATTGCTGCCGTTCCAAACGCAGGTCGAAAAAACGCGTTCGTGGTAATCATCGAGTTTAGGGTGCAACAAAAATTTGCATCTTCGCCGCGGACACAAAAAAAACCCCGGAAAAATAAAATCAATTCGATCTTATCGTCGGTAGACAAGTTTTTTTTTTTTGACGTCGAACGCGGTTCGGTAAAAATTATTAGTCTGGGTTACAAAAAATTATTTATATACGTACACTGCACCGGAGCTCTATAAATAGGGGGAAGAGAGAGGGCTAAAGGCTCCTCGAAAATCCCAAAGACAAATTTTAGAACTGCAATTTATCTACAATCATTTCATTAATAATAATAATATATTTAACAATACATAATAAACCAACTGTATTCACACAAATCGCAAATAGTACGCGAAATTCCGGGATTTTTATGATTTAAATTCAAATTTAAACTTAAAACGCTTGTAAAATAATAACTGTATCTACAGTTATTTTTAAACAAATTTCAAAAAAAAAAAAAATTGTTATTTTCGTAAAATTTCCTAATTTTTCCCCAATTACTACGAAAACTACAGGACAAATAAAAGAAACGACCTTCTAATGCATCAACGACTAGATTAAATTTGAATATAAAAAAAAACTTCAATATAAATATCTATAACAGCTGACATAAAATATTTGGGATGAAGGTAAAAGGAGAAGAAAAAATACCTATAATAATATTAATAAACTACTTAATATAAACAAATACATACGCAGGGAAAAGAAATGGTTTTTTTTTGTGTATAAACTTAGGAGAATATAGGTCAGCTTTGAACCACTAACTTCATTAATTAGGGAGTAGGTAATTCCGACTGCATTATACACTAAATAATTTTTATACGAGTATAAAATTACCAAATTATTCAAAAAATTAAAATAGGAGAACACCTCTATATGAGTTTCTACCCCCGTTATTTCACATATTATGACGCTCAATAAAACTAATAATAAGAACGAGTGTTTTAACCATTTTTTTTTTCGAAATAATTTTTCTAAAGAAAAATTAATTTGTTTAAAATAAACCATCGAGATTGCCTTCAGACAGAAAATTGTTTTTTTTTTTTTCATAATTTCATTTTAGGTGATTTAACACCAAAACCGAAATCAAGCGAGTTCTATTCGTTCTGCGTAAAAAAATATATATATTTTTTTTCCCACTGAAAATCACCGGCGTCCTAAAGAATATTTCAAAAGTCGGACATGCTTCGCGCCGCTGTTGTAAGCGGGAAATCGGTATGAATAGTATAATTTATTTAATATACGAGAGCCACGGTAAAACATTGAAATCGAAAAGCAATTCTGAGTGTAACTCGGTAAACTGCCGATAAGATATAGCTCTGTTATTTTCCATTGCGATAGTAGATTATAACCGGCAGAAATCGAAAAAACGTAAAACCGACGGCATTTGCGGTCGGTGATTTTTATTTGTTTTAAGAAAAACGTTGCGAGTGGAAAAAAAAAAGTACGACCGGGCGGAAATTTCGTCGCCGCGGTTTCTTCCTTCGGGATACTTATTTACTGACCGAAAAACAAAATGCATGTTTTCCGCGAGAACGTCTCGGCGGAAATCTACTTACTTATGAACGACGATGTAAGCCTCGGTCATCTCGTTATCCGTTCGCGTTATCGATCGACCGGGGGAACCAGTTGTCCGTTTTTCTCACGCGGTATAAGAACAGATAAAAAAAATTAAAAAAAAAAAAAATCCCCGCGATCGACGACTGTTATAATAAATTAATATCCCGCTCCGGGGAACGTTTTAGAGGGCGAAAAAAAAAAATCCCGAAACGGAATGAAATTATATGCGAAACTTTTTTTTTCTCTCTTTCTCTTTCTCGCGCGCGCCAACACCAGCTCTTCCGGGTGCCGGAAAGTTTAGTTTCGGGCCACCGCGGATTGCGCGCACGCACGAACGAACGCGGACCACGAACCACGACGACACGGCCGCACGATTTCCACTATATATATACGTACGCACAACGGATAATATTATTATAAAAACCACGGGGAAAAAAAGTCCGGCGAACGAATAATAATTATAGGAAAAAAAAAAAAAAAAAAAAACCGCCCGATACAAATACTATTTAACGCACGCGCCCAGCAATAACGACGACGATACGAGCGCGAAAGTCTTCCGTGCGGACAGATACCGGGCGATAATATCGTTACCGGGTGCGCGGTAACCGCGGTAAAAAAAAAAAAAAACAACGACAATGGATCCCGCAGACTGTACGCGGACCGGACGGGACGGCGAACGCTCGACTGACGCGCAACCGCATAACGTCCGAGGTGCGAGCGCACGTTTCGCCGCGCGTCGAACCGGTTCACGGCGACGCGCGCGCACGCGCAAACGCTCGTCGCGCGGTACAGGTCGGGAAGCTGCCGGTGCGACCGTTACGGCGTTCTCCGCGGCCGGCACGAGAAATCCGGAGAAAGAAAGGAAAAAAATAATAATAAAAAATAGATACCTGCCGTACGATGTCATATTTATTCGACTTCATATCCGGCGGCGGCAACGCGGTAAGAAAAACGAATAAAAACGTTAGTACAGCCCCGCGGTACGAGACGCGCACGACTTATCCATCTCGAATGGTCGTAACGGCCGAAGAGCCAAATTGAAAAAAATCACTGCACATCATCTTACGCTGCGATTCCGATAGTAAAAAAATATTCGAACTCTATCTTGAAAATTATACCGGACATAACGAACTATAACTGATAATATTTTTCTATAGATTTTTCCCCGTTAAAAGTAAAAAAGAAAGGTACTTGTATAAATGTATATATATATATAAATGACAATCGCCACGAGATTCAAACGGCATAACGAAAGCTCGGAGCTAGAAATCACAGTAAATAAAAGATTCTCAGGGAATGTTTGAAATAAAGCCATTAAGGGGTCAAGAAATTCCGGCGTCTTTTTTAGGTACCAAGTGAACAAATCCGAGCGTTTCCGACAACCGAAAAAAAATCAAAAGATCAAATGATACGAAAATAACGCATTATATGATAGTACAAGAATATCTTTCGTTTTCACCGCGGACACATTGCGAATATTTCGACCGCATACAATAACGACCAGAAAATAATATCTACTCGTATATCCGCTAATACGCCCGAGACTTCAGCAACTAAAAGACGAGTTAACCACGCCATACATTTTTATTTTCAAAACAAATTGAATTAAGAGTCAGTTCAATTATTGAGCACTAGAGAGCTCGAATTTCGTTTTAAAATAACACACATTAATTTAGTCTATAACATATCCAGTTCTAAAGTGGATCGAATAGACTATTGCGATACAAATCCGTTCTTAATTTATTTCGCGTTTTATTTTCGCCTAAATATTCGTTCGATTTTCAAATCATTCTCCTGAAAAAAAAAAAAATCCTTTTACGAGTCGTTGCAGACCTAAATTGGATAGTCGATATTGTGCCCGTGGTCCATTGTATCGGCGGCGGGCGGGCACGGATTATTGTTATGATAATAACATTAAGGAACGAGAATCGATTAATATATTCAGCGTGTACGAGCGTAACATAATACAGAAGAACACACGCGTATTCAACAATATTTTCGATTTGTTTTGGGAATGCGATCCCCGCGGGGTGCAACGAAATTGCATATTATTATCGTTCCGGCGCACGTAGGTGCATTATATTACAATAATAATATTATAAATACGACGTTTTCAAGGCCGCGTGCGAACAATATAAAGGAACGATCGCACTGGACCCGCCGCTCTGTTCGGTTTAGCGCCGTTTTGTTATAATCTCCCGTCAGTCGTAGTGGCCCGACCGGTTAAATTCGACACCGGAAGAGACGGACGCCGAATTAAAAAGACAAAATCACGGGGGGGGNGGGGGGGGGGGGGGGGGTTCAGAGAATCGACGGACCGGACCGGACGACCGCGGAGAACGGACCCGGTGTACCTACCGCCTCCCCGGAGCCGACAAAACGTTTTTTTTTTGTAAATGCGCCCGCGGAACGAACGAACACGATATTATAACAATATCGACAAGTGGGTATGGGAAAAAAAGGACATAATAATAATAATGTTAAATATTATTATTGTGGGTACTGAATTCCGTTGGAAACGGACCTTTTTCTCGATTACGACGACCCTCCCCCCCGCTCACCGCACAATACCGATAGTATCACGGTCGACAAACGATAATATCGTACATACTTCGATCATCTTTACTCGTCTTTCGGGTACATACGAGGGTCTACATAACAAACACTATGGTGTTATACAAACTGCATGTGTGTGTGTATATGAGGATGTGTTGTGAGTTCATCGATGAGAACTCTCGTTGTCACACGTCGCTACCTGGTAACGATCAGAGACCGCCAGACTCAAAGCCGCCGGGGTCAGGTATAAAATATGTATAGTAATCGTATCGTATATTCCTGCCTATACAGGGTGATTCTTTTTTATCATGAACCAGCAATTATCTCAGAAGATTTTGAGTTAATCTGTTTTCTGTTTTTTCTGATCAATATGGAATCGTTAAAACTTTATTTTAAAACCATTATTAATTTGTTACCCTTACTCTATATACCTGAAATAAGTGCATACTTTTGATTTTCAAATAGGAAACCCTCATTGAACACAGATTTGAAAATAAATTGCCTACCTATGACCTCCGGTCTAAACTTTATACTGTTATAACTCGTAAACGATAAATTTGATATTAGTGCTATGCATATCAAAATGTCTAGACAAATATTTTCTATTCAAATCTGTGTTCATTAGGGGTTTTCCTATTTGAAAATCAAAAGTATGCACTTATTTAAGGTATATGGAGTAGGGGTAACAAATTAAAAATGGTTTTAAAATAAAGCTTAAACGATTCCATAATGATTAAAAAAAAACAGAAATTAAATTAACTTGAAATCTTCTGAGCTAATTGTTGGTTTACGATAAAAAAAATCACCCTGTATATAGGCGTAGGTTACCAAACTATACCGTGACCGAGAACCGCTGTGCTGCAGGAACCTCGTCGTAATAGCTCTACAACAGTATTATTACAGTCTGGTCACGCACAGATTGTCGGCGAATATAGTATTATTATTATATTACTATCAGTGGGTAATGCGATTAACCTCCCTTTCCCCCCAAAAAATCCTACATTCACGTGTGTATTGTAACGGCGAAAAAACAGCGAAAACGTAAACTGTTACTTTAAATTCCGAGTGTAGCCAAGAATAAACTATGCGGCTATAATATTAGTTTTACTAAGATGTGTTTTCTCCCCCTAGGAAAAACGATTTTTTTACTACGTAAAAATGATAAGACTTTTTTGTACTCATTATCTTATAAGACCTGTATTAAGATTTTCCGCCCGGCGTTATTTTAGTAGAGGATTTTTCAAACCCACCACTATCGAAGATACACTATGATTGTTTTATTTTTGTCGACTTTTGGGATCCCTCGACTGTTGAGCTCCGCTCAGAATATTTTTTCGATTGCGATGATTTATTGTGGATTTCGGCACGTAAATAATAACTGCCTTATATTTAATGTACTCTCCGAACTATCCATCTCTATAGAAAAGTGGTTTACCCATATGACGATGCGAAGTATATGTTTGCTTACCCCGGCTTTTCACATTAACATTATCGAACGTAATGGAGAAAAAAAAAACTACGAACAACGCCGCGAAAGACGACACATTTTAATAAGTGCCTACTCTGTTTTATGAAATATTTAATACGGGAAATATTGTTTTGCGTTATACGTTGTCGTAGTTTTTTTTAGATCGTGTGAATATACGAGCTCTATAATATCATAATAAAAATATACGCTCGCGTGTTCGACGGGATTATTTAGGTATACGGGTGAAGAAGTGAAAAAGGTAACTGTATATATCTATTAATAATGTAAAAGTTTGTATTATGTACGCTGCCATGGCTGCTCCGAGTGCTGAAACTTCAAAGAAAACACACGACTGCAGTATATTATATTATAAAGTGGCTTCTGTATTATAGAGACGAGATTACTGTCATTGACGACGACAAGACGGACGCGACCGATCGTGTAATCGTATACAGAGTCTTCAAAATCTTATGTTACCGTCGAGTTTTCCATGAAAACTTAATTCCGAAAAAAAAAAAAAAAATGTTAAAAATGATGAACTCTGCAAAAACATTTTGCAAACAAATCATCTAAAGCATAAAATAGTAATTATTTTTTTTCCGTCCTTATTTTCGGGGGTAAAATATTCACCGATCACTTTTGATTTTCAAATAGCGGTAACTTATATTGAAAATTCCATAAATATACGAAGGTTTAATAATATTTAAATGCATTTCGGTGTTGTTATTTTAAATAGTCGTCAATCCGTTTACGAGATGTTTCGCTTTCGTGTTTCGGGA